ATATAATAATCAAAATTCCAGAAATGCAATATAAGAACAGAATATTAAAAGCTGTCAGAGACAAGAAACAGATCACTTACAAGGGAACACCCATCAGAATTACAGCAGACTTCTCAGCACAAACCATCAAATCATGAAGAGCATGGAGGGAAATAATTCAGGCTTTGAAAGATAATAACCTCCAGCCAAGATTGATATATCCTGCACAACTATCCTTAGAAATTGATGGAAAAACAAGGTGCTTCCAGGATAAAGAGGAACTAGGGTAATTTGCAACCACCAATTCAACTCTACAGAGACCATACTCATAAGCAAAATAAATCAAACTCACATATATAAATACCATATAGTCTCCCTAGTATAAGAAATGGTAAGAATACATAAGAGTTTATGGTAATCATAAACTCCATTACATTGCTTTGAAGCCTTATAATGTTTGCATTCATTAGTTGGAATGGTTTTATCTTGGTTTGTGTGATTTTATTATCTGTGATAGTATGAACAGCTATTTTGAAGAAAACAAGACATTAAAATAGCCAGTACTGATTTAATATCATCCTACTGTGAAGTCCTACTATGCTTTTGTTCTTCTATTTCCTTTGGTTCTATCATGTTATATCTTATTGGATATTATTATGTGTGATAGTATAAACAAATTTTCTATGGAAAATGAGATACTATAGTAGCCATTGTTCATTCTTTGTTATTTGGTTCTGAAAGCCCTGTAATGCTTTCATTCTCTTGAAAGGTTTTATACTGTTTTGTTATGTTTGATACTATTATATATGAAGTTACACTCAACTATTTCAAAGGAAGAGACATTATGGTAGTTACTGTTAACAATGGGTTGTCTTGTGGTAAAATGCTGTGTTGCTTGCATTGTTCCTATCTGATCTGCCTTGTTTTGTCCTCTTTTGCCTTAATATCTTTAAAATAAAAAAAGAAAAAAATTAGTTTCTCTCAGAGAGAACCTGTATTCCTATGATCATTTCAGCATACTTATAAAAGCAATGATTATGAAAACAACCTACTGATTTCCATAACAGTTGTTCCAGTTTACCCTCCTACAAATAACCTAGGAGAGTTTCTTTTTCATTACAGCCAGTGTTTGTTATTTTTTGACTCTTGATGCTAGCTTTTTTTTCTGGTGTAAGATGGAATCTTAGTGTTGTTTTAATTTGCATTTCTCAATGGCCTGAGATGTTGAACATTTTTTCCATATTGGGCCACTTACATTTCCTTCTCTGAGAAGTGTCTGTCCATTTCACTTGCTCATTCTTGACTGGGTCTTTTTTTTAGTTCTTTGTATTTTCTAGATAACAGTCCCCTGAGAAATAGCTGGTGAAATTTTTGCCTGTTCTTTAGGTTGTCTCCTCACTTGATTCATTGATTCTTTTGCTGTGCTGGAGCTTTTAAAATTAGATGTGATCCCATTTGTTGATCTTCTTGTTATTTCTTGTGCAATTGTCATTCTGTTTTGGAAATCCCTTCCTATACCTATGAATGAAATAAACCAGACACACAAACAAATAAAACACATATCTCTCAGCTGAGTAAAGAAAAATACAGAGAGCACAATAAAAGATGGCTGGAAAGAGGAAAGGAATAGATTTCCTGTAAATGGAAAGGGGTCCAAGAGATCAAGGGTAAAGAGAAGTTTAAATAACTACAATAAAGGTGTATCACATACAGGAACCTAATACCCTCAGTGAATGCAAATATATGTCATAAACATGAGATAATAGTTATGATCTCAATAAGAACAAACATGAGGAAAAGGAGTAGGGAGAAGGAAAGGGAAAAGGGATTAATAAAATAACCAAGCTATATACATATACCCACTCCCCAAGATGATTAAAAGCTGCATGTATTATAAACATGTACTAATAAAAATTTATTCATAATAGGTATTACTGATATCAGTAGTAATATCAGTACAACTAAACACTGACTTACTAGGAATTTAGATTTAGAAATAGGTATAAAAATAAAACTGACAGCTGCTGAAAGTTATTATTAGTAAAATCTCATATACTGGAAAACTTTGATTGATAAATAAAATCATGATACAATTTAAAATATGAAAAGGAATGTACTCTAATTAATATAATTCTTTAAAAGAAAAAAGAGAAGGCAACCTAAATGTCCATTAGCAGATGAAGAGATAAAGAAACTGGCTTATTTATATAATGAAGTATTACTGTCTTAAGAAAACCCTGTGACATGGTGGACATTGTACTAAGTGAAATAGGCTGGACATAGAAGGACAAACTGCATGTCCCATTCTTATGAAGAATCTAAAATGTTCAAACTCTGAAGCAGACTAAGATAGTAATTACCATGTTCTAGGAGGAGGGGATAAAGAGAAGGGAAGGTTTATGGAGTACAAAGTTTTAGTTATGAAAGATCAATAAATTATGGAGGTCTGTTACACAACATAGGGTTTATGCTTAACAGTAGTCTATTGGCTCCACAAATAACAGTTTGCAAAGAGGATAGATCTTAAGTTACATGTTCTATCACCCACATTTTTTAATTAAAATTACTGAAGAGGGTAGGAGGAAATTTTGGGTAATGATGAATATGAATGGCTTTAATTTTATTGATGGCTCCACAAGTGTATGATCACCTTCAAACTTACAAGGTTGTATACATTAAATAGTGCATCTTTTTTACATGCCAAACATATCTCAGTTAAGTGGTTTGAGAAAAGAATTTATGATCTGAGGTGACAGAGAGTGAAAATGAAAAGCTCACAAAAGAAAACAATATAGAGTGACTGAAAATAAAGGGACATGGTCATCTGGCACATGAAAGGCGATAAAGAATTGATAGTTCAAATATTCCATTCAATGGAATTTAAAGGAAAGTGAAATTCAGTGGATCAGTGTTAACAGAGGTATAGGTTTCAGAATGAGCAGATTATCTTTAGAAGCTAGACTGGTCAAAAAAAATCAAAGAAAAATACATGGGAACGCTAATACTGTGGTACCTAGAAACAAGAATGGAAGTCAAGGCCAAGAGTGTAAAGCCACAAACCAAGAGAAAGCAACAGCAAATCAGGCTGGGGTGGGAAGTGTTTGTTCAGCACACCTGCTGTTGTGTGAAACTTCCTCGTGGTTCAGTGGCAACAGAGCATGTAATACATTGATCAAGGATTTCTACTATGTTGTGGATAGCCAAGTGTCACAGCCCATAACTTAGTACAGATAAAAATGTGGCGAATAACATGCACCAGAGATAGCAAATATGGATGAGGTTATGTACAATATCAGTGGCTGGCTACCAAAGCAACTCTGTGGTCATCCTAAGCTTTGTCTTGGGAAGAGAGTGGTTCAGGAACACTCTGGAGGACGGCCAGGTGACTGCCACTTGATATCTAGTCTCATCTGCATATGTGTAACTGAGGTAGTCATCACTATTAGGGAATAAGTTGTATTAGAAATAAAACTGACTCTATTACAGCATGAAGCTGGAAAAAACATATACCATGACCTGTTTTATAATAGGATTCCAGTATAATAGCAATGCCATGTGCAAGAACCAAGCAACACTGAGGTTTGGAGATAATAATCAGCATTATTACATGGGTGGACCTGACTGGAATTGTTTCCAAGGAAATTGTTCCCTCACAGCTGGAGGAAAGAGCCATTTGTTAACTGGAACTTGATCTTTACAGCATGCACAATAATGGCCAGCCATTTTTGGAAAACAGAAACTTAGCTGAGAAAACAGAAACTGAAGTAAACTGGCAGGAACCAACACCATCTTATATTCCTGAGGAGACAATTTTCTATTACACCAGAGCATTGCAAGAACCTATTTCACAAACTAGGAGGTGGTAGATGAGAGATGCCTGATTAAAAAGAGAAACAAATCACATGGCTCCTGAAATAAGTCATCATAAATTAAAATGATTAGACTAGCCCCCAGGATAGGACCTGACAGCTAGTCTGTGGGAAGAGTGAGCAATAGTCCAGGGCATCCACCATGCTGCTCCATGGCTCAAGGAGACATTCATCCTAGGATGAAGATAGCTATGTGTTAATAATAAAACAGCCCTATTAGCACAAGTACAAGTGGCTTTGTTATGAAATCCTGCTTCCAAAAATTGAAATGGGAAAAATGAACCGTTCCCTGCCAAATGGAGAGACTGGGCATTATAGGTTCTACAATATGTGAAATGTCATGAGCAGTATCAAAAGCTAGGAGCAAGTCAGCATCACCAGTGGGATAGCCCAAGGGGAGGGTTGGAGTTATGGGTTCGCTGGGATGTGGAGCTAGGCAAAGAAGATAGAAGCATCAGGAAATCACAAGACTCTAGAAGCACCAAAGATGATAGCACTGACTGTGCGATAAAAAATTATGGTTTGGGTACTGAAAATTAGACTGGCTAGAGTGTGGCATCAGCAGAGAACCAAGAGCTCAGGGATTCTAACTGGGACAATAAGGCAAACTAACTAAAATGGAAATATGAGGCCTGGACAGGCAAAGAGTTGAAGTGAGCCAGGAGAAGTCAATTCACAAAAGGCAAGCAAAGGGTTCTCTGAACCCTAGAACAGTATGCAAAAGAATGGATAATTCCCAAGGCAGCTCCCCTAGCCATTGCCCACCAGTTGCTTCCTCTGCTGCCCCATAACCTGCCCCTACCCATGCCTGAATAAATTAAGTAGCTCTTTCACAATACCTGGGCAGTTGCTTTTGAGATGAAAAGACAAGTGGATACAGTAGGGTCCTAGATCTCAAGATATGCAGACATGAGTTGTTTTTGCAATCATAAGCCATTGTGCAATGTCCTGGTCCCTGGACCCAGAGTCCTGGCTATTCAGAAAGCACAGATGTGGTGATGCCACTTAACTCACAGGTCTGCAGGGAAGGTGCAGATGTGATAATGGATGGAGAGCATTCATGAACTCTAAGGTGACAAGTAAGCACAATGTGACTGGTAACCACATATAACAGTGGCAGTTGTCCAGAGAGCAGGTGGGATAAGTATGAGTCAACAAGGAAGAAAATTGTTACACTTCTTTAAAGGAGTTCTCAGGAAACTGGGACTGAATGGCTCAGGTTACAGGGCAGACATAAATATGGAGTGCCTGCTAAGCCAAGAATCATTTGCCAGGAGCTCCTGGGACTCTAGAGGAAGGGAACTGTGAGTATCTCTGTCCATTCCTTATTCTATTTTCCCCTTGTTCTGTGACTGTCCCCTGCCATCAGGGCTGTTTATCCTACTGGTATGGAAGAAGCACTGGTCTGGGTTCTGGTTCAAGGCTCTAGTGCAGGAGTCATGGATGTGGGAGGTGGGGGTCATAGTGGGGTAAGAAGATGCTCTTCTGCCCTTGATTCAGCTTCTATGGTTCAGGTTTGCTTCCTGAGTTGAGTTAGAGGGGACAAGTATGCTGTGACACTCCTAAGACCTCAGATGCTACTGTGTGGAAATACTTCAGTTTATGAGTAGAAATGCCTATGATTTTTCTTAGTCCCCAGAATCAAAGGAACCCAGAGTTCAGCTGATGCAGACCAAGGGACATCAGCCTTGCTCTGGCATGAGTCTGGTCTTCAGTGCTCAGGACTAAATCTCTGCCAGAATGAGGGCAATGAAATCTACTACTAGATTCTGAGTTCACCCAGGTATTTCTAAAGACCCTTAGGATACCCAAGAAACTTATGAAGTCAAAACTGAAAAAAGTTAAGTGAAAAATAAGTGCTATCTACAGCTCAGAGTTGCCAGCAGCTGGAGAGGGAGGAATTTCTCTGGTCAACAGCACCTGTCCTCCACCACCCCTGTCAGCATGCTGAAGTGCTTCACCTTTTCACAGGGCTTCTGGCTTCAATGCCTCAGTGGCTCCCACTGGCTCTTTCCAGTCTCCTAATTTCAGTTTCTTTCTTTGAAAAAATGTTGCTGTGGTATGGATCTTAAGTGTTCCCAAAGGCCCATGTGTTGAAGGCTTTGTTCCAAGCCTTGGGACAATAATGCAACCTTTAACAGAGGTGGTCTAATGAAAGGAAGCTGGATCTTTGGGGCCATGTCTTTGAAGGGGATATTGGAACCCCAGGCCCTCTTCTGTCTCTTTGCTTCCTGGCTGTTATAAGATGCATAGGGCTCCTCTGACATATGCTTTTGCTATGATGCACTGTCTTGCCACTGTTCCAGGTAACCATGGACTGAAACCTCTGAAACTATGAACTAAAATAAACTTTTCCTTCTTTTAAGTTGGTTGTCTCAGGTACTTGTCACAGTGATGAAAATCTAACAAGATGTGCAATGTAGGGTTGACCCAGCTCCCATACCACCCTAGATGCCTTATGGATGGTTTCTCTTGCTTACCCCCAAAACCAACCATGTGACACCACCCTCTTCCCCTGTGCACCCCTCCTCTATTCTCTCTCACATGGTCTGGGCAGTCCTCTATGTGTCTGGTTCCTCCAGATGCTAATTTAGTATCTCTGAAATGCCTCACCTGGGCTCCCTCTATCACTTTCTCTGTGGAATCAGTGCTTGGTTCAGGGATGCTAATCACTTGGTATACAAGCAGCCACACTCCTGGATGGAGCTAGGGACAAACATCATAAAGTAGTCAGAATTCAGGCTCATTTTCAGACCAGCATGTAGACTCCAATGCAAACCTACTCATCGCAGCAAGGAAGAGGAAACAGATTTTCCTGGTCTTAGATGATCCAACTGCCTCAATAGCATATGCAAGGAAAAGGAGGCCTAGAACGGGAAAGGGTCCTGCCCAATGGATCCTTCTTTATGTGACAGGTGGCCTTAGAGAGAACATTATATCACAGCCACAATTTTATGGGCCTCTAAGAACAGATGGTCACTGCTGTGCCCAGACACCCACATCACAGTTCAAACAGAATTTATATCCTCCAAGATCAGGTTATATACCCATCTCCCTGAATTGTTTTTGAATGCTTTTTCCTCTAAGTCGCACAGCAAGAAGAAGAAGGTAGAAAGGGAGATTTCTAATCAAAACAAATTAGGTCAAGCCCTATCCTATTTTCTCCAAACCAACAACATGACCTTTCTCTTTCTATCCTTCTCCCCAGGCCATGCTGCTTCCCCTTCTTTCCTTGCTGTATCTGCTCACACAGCCCCAGGGGAACCTGGGAGCCGTAATGAAGAGCTACCAGCCTAGAACACTGGCCAATGCCTGCACTCTGGTCATATGCAGTCCTGCGGAGAATGGCTTGCCTGGCCGCGATGGCCGGGATGGGAGAGAAGGCCCCCGTGGTGAGAAGGGTGAACCAGGTAAAGTGGGGACCAGGGACTTATCTGGTGGGGAGAGAGACCTTGAATGATAAGCAATCTGCGTCTGGGTACTCAGTGATGAAAGATTTTGTGATAGGCTTCTTTTACCCCAGGGAGTGAGTTTCTCCTCACTGTTCATTCCACAAAAAAAAAAAAAAAAAAACAAAACTCCTCTACTAGCTGGCAAATGTACAAGATATGATAGAAACACATGATGAATGTCTAAACGAATTGTTTCAGTTTACTACAGTTAAAGTCACACTGTGATTAATCCTCCATGAAAAAAACTTCCTCCTGCTCCAAACATACTTACCCATCATTTTTACCTCTTTGTGAAGCACTTTTGGAAGTCCTCTTTCATGAATGTCATTAGCTGTGCTATCACAGCTGCCTTGATGCCCTGGATTTATTCAACAATTGTCTATCTCACATTTGTTTTGGCCATGGAGCAGAGTCAGAAGTTGCATGGTGCCTGATCTGGCGAATGTGGTAGGTGATTGTCTCTCTGTTGGACATCAGTCAGCAACAGCAGTCACTATTTTTTGATCACTCTTGGTTAGGACACTCACAAAAGAGGCCTTTGGGGGCAAGAACAATGGAATAAATTTGTTTGAAGTGAGAAGGTACTTTGAGGGTGATTAATGGCAATGTGTCCTTTACTGTAATAATTTTTAAATTTAAACATTAACATATTTTAATGACACCTATATGTCAATCTTGAACACCCAACCTAATTCTCCCCAATTATCCAAACAACCCAACACCTCCCCTGGGATCCCTGGGTTCTCTTGACCCTCAAGAAAGGATAAGTAATGAGTAAAGTATTACACTGGGAGGCTTTTGGGGCCCTGGTCTGGAAGTTAGCAGTTGTTCATTTTGATTAAATGTTGCCTGTACAGGATGTCAAACATTTTTAATACTTAAACTTGTTCCAAGGACAATAGGAAGGAAAGAGGCTCTATGGCCCCCACACAGACCAAATCAAAAGAATTTTCCTTAAAACTTCACAAGGTGAAAAATAATAATAATAAAAACTTCACAAGGTGAGAGAGGGACCTCAGTTTCTTTGTACATCCCTATGCATGGATATTCACTTGAGTAGTTCATGTACTTCTACCAAGAGCCTTACAAGGAATTTACTAATCTCCTTTGCCAAATAAGAAAAGTATTATTGTCTTACTTTTTTCTCTTTACTGGATCAAAATACCAACACTCAAAGTTAAAGTTAAAAGATTTGTTTAGCTCACAATTTGTGGAGGTTTCAGTCCATATCAGCTCGCTCCAAGGCAGGGTGGCATGGCAGAAGGACAACAGTTCATGACAGTGGAAAACAGCAAAAGCAACAAAACCAAAAAGGAGAAAGAGCAAGCCTTTTTTCTTCCCTTAAATTGTAAGCAGGCTCCTCATTCTAGGATGAATGTAGCACTGACCCTATCTCTATGCCCTCTTCCTGCACAGACTCAGGATATTTACAAAGTGAGGACCCTGGGCCCCTGCTGAGTCACTTAGTTAAACTTTAAACTTTTCAAACTGACACAATGAACAACATCCTACAGTGATAAAGGCCCATCATTTGCACCCCAGAATGTAGAACTGATGACTTACTTAGTGAAGCTTCTGGACTTCTCAACTTGACACAAAGTAACAACCATTCTGGAAGGTTAAAAGGGCATGGAATTCTGAGTTAGACAGATGTGGACTTCACTACAACTTCATCTCCAATTTAGGATCCTGTGGGACAAGGCACATGTTGTCAAGGAAACCAAAATAATATTTGCCACCCAGAGACAAATAACTGACCCAAATCTTTTTTAAATTCATCTTCAGAGTAAAGTTTCACCTACCTGCTAAACCAATTCCGAGGTTCCCAGGGGTGCTAGTAAATAAGGGAATTGTCAGCCACCAGTGGTGGCTCATACTTATAAGCCCAGCTATTCAGGAGACTGAGAAGGAAAGTTGCAAGTTTGATGCCACTTTGGGCAATTGAGCAAGATCCTGTTTCAGAAAAGGGGGGGTTGAGTGTGGAGATATATCTCAGTTATAGAACATCTACCCTGTCATGTACAGGACCCTGGGTTTAAGCCCTGGTACTGCTGAAGCAGAAATCCTGACCTCACTGTAGGTATTCCATTCTCTGCCATTGAACTCAGCTAAATCATATGATTTGTCATCAAACTGAAACTTCTATAAATATGCTAAAAGCAACTTTACTACATACATCTATGCTCACTACAAAATACCCGCTGTACCATAACCTTCAGTGAAAGCCTATCTCTTGTAACTTCTGTTTACCACCCTATAAATAAGACAAACTCTATATAATCAACACCTCAGACTTTGGAGATTAGCCCTTTCTTCTCCTTATCACCTGCCTACTGTTGAATCAGTTTTCCCTTAAACACTGCAAAACAAACTACGGACAATAAGCGAATTGTCCCAGGAAACATTATGCTTGCCCTGGGAGAGGATCCAAGTCTTGTGGATCAGTGAATCAAGGGTGGTTCTGGCCAAGCTTTGAAGAAATCAAATAGTCTTTATCTTTTGGGAGTTTTCATTTTGAGTGGAGAGGAAGCAAACTAGTGACACTTAAGAAAGAAAAAAAGAAAGAATAAGCCCTGGTCGACCAAGAGAAAGGTATTTGTCTTTCCAGTAGGGATTAAAAGAGCTCCCGGTATGAATGAGCTGGACTTGGACATGGCTGCCCAGGAATGATCTTAGAAGGATTGGACTCAATTAACCAACCCACTCTGAAATTTCCAGTTTTCTCTGCTCACAGAGAGGGTGGGGATTGAATCCTGGGCAGCTTTCTGCAAGGAGCATAGAAGAGATCTCCATTTGCTAAGCAGGTACTTTGTCCCTGCTCATTCCAAACCCAGCTTTGGGTCACTGTTTGGTCAGAGAACAGTACACAGTTGGGCAGGAAGTATGGTCCACTCTGGTTTGTCACTTCCAGTCACTTTAATCACGTGTCTGAGAATGTCCTTGGGAGCTTGGATGTAGGTCTGTGTCACCCAAAGTCTGCACTTGTAAAAATTTCCTCTGTAGACTTTGAAATCTGTGGACCCCAGAAATTGCTGAGAGTTAAGGCATAAGAAGAGAGATCCTTGATCAGGGATGGAGGATGCAGCTGGGGTACCTCAGAAAGCTCACAGACTCACCATGGAGAGCAAGTAAGGCCCAGGCAGGGACAGTTCCCTCATCATTCAGCACCTCAGTCATTCCTGCCCAGAAAGATTCTCCAAGAGTCCTTCTAAGGATACTCATCTCCCTCCGAGTAAACCAACACCTTGCGACAGCCTGTGAGATTCCCCAAGACCACTCTCTACCCCTGCTTACTTCTCTGCTCTCAACCCCTTGACTCCCACATCCACCTGACTCAGCCACACTGGTTTCTCACTGGTCCTTAAACATACAAAACCCCTCTCTCCTGGGTTTTGTCATTTGATCTTCTCATAGATATTCCTTCTACTGGGAAGGTTTCCTGTCCACCTTTTGTCATTCACTTCTATTGGACACTTTGTTTCACTAGTGTCTTTATGAGAGTGATCAATAATGGTGAATGCTGCTAAGTGCCTTCCAATATAACAACAGTTCTGTAAAAAAAAAAAAACAAAAAAAAAAACAAAAAAAAAAAAAACCCTATCTATATTATTCACCAGATTTGGCACAACGGAACTTCTGACTCTTCCCCAGACAAAAAATGACCAATTTCCAAAAGAAGAGTTCCACAACCACCCTACTTAAAACAGATATCACTGTCCCCAACACTTCCTACACATTATTTGATCTCTGCGGAGCTTATTATAACTTAACATGCCATGTGTCATACTTTTTAATTTTCAATTGTTTGTTTTATTTGCTGTAGGGTTGACAGGACAAAGAATCATTTTTTGTCTGTTTTGTCCACTGCTACACCAAAATTTAGACAGCAGCCAGTACATGGTAGAAGATTGATAAATATTTGAAGAATAAGTGAAAGAATTACCGCGACCCAAGCGACTCCTGAAGTTCTGGAGTTAAGGGCTGTGAGAGGATGAGAAAAATAAGAAGACACAAAGCTGGGGTCAGGTGGAGCCAGTATCCTCCTGATGGGAGGAAAGGTACTGACTCCCCACTGCAAGGATGTTTATTTATGATACGGGCAGAAAAATGACGGACTCCAAAAATTAAAAAAGAAGCACTTTATTAGCTGAGCTCAGCGGTGACACTGTCCCAGAAAAGCAGCCAGGGAAGTGTGTGCCCCAGCCAGGGGCTGCAGGGAGTTATAAAGTAGCAAGCCACCAGGGTCAGGGTCAGGGTATTAGAATCAGTTTATCCCCAAAAAGGGAAACAGGGAGGTGGAACAAACAGTTACAGGAACCAGGGAAGCACGGAGAGGGTTGCATGGTGGGTATGTTACAAGGTTGCACCTTGTAACAAGGCAATTACACAAGTTTTACAGGGAGATAACAAGTTATAATAAGTAAAGCACATTTTGAGTTTTTTTAGCTTATAACAATTTATACTTTTATAATGTCACATGATACCCTGTTGTCCTAGAAACCCACTGTTCAGATTGTCTTGGGGGTAGGTGTTTTCTGGGCTGAAGTAGATTCTTCAGGTGGCTTAGCCAGGTGCTCTTTGTTCTTGGAATGGTCATGCTCCAGCCTTGCCCATGTGGTAAATTTCCAGCTTCAATGGCTCCCAACAAAGAATGAAAGATTGAAGGGAAGAGGAAGTTCAAGACTGACTAAAGTGCCAGATCATAATGTTTCGCCTCAGGTGGTCCTAGGGTACAGGACTAGGTGACTGGGGAATCCTGGAATGTAAAATTAGTGCTTTAGGCAGTGTACTAGTCAATTTTCATGTTGTTGGAACATAATACCCAACACCTACTTAAAGGTGGAAAGATTTAATTTGACTCAATTTGATGATTTCAAAGGATTCAGAACATGGTTGACTGTCTCCAAGGCAGGAACATGATGGTGAAATGGTGGGATGGAGCAAAAATGCTTAATTTGTGACAGCCTGGAAGCAGAGCAGAGGAACAGTGTCAGAGAGGAGGGACCAGAAATGGTACCTGAGGCCACACCTCCATGACCCACCTCCACACACCCATGTACTTTACTAATTTGCTAAGCATAACTTAATCCATTCAGGATGACATATCAAGATTAACAGTTGCAGAACACATGTGCTGCTCTTGAGGGGGAAGACCTTCTTCCACTTGGGAGCTCTCACAACCACCAGAGTCCATGTAGCAGGGACTGGTGGCCTCAACCCACCCCTTCTGTGGCTGTTTTCTTTAGCCTACTATGCTGCTGTCAGCCTAGCCATGGACCCAAGTGATGCTGAGGCTGAGCTTGGGCATCTATGTCCTCAGCTCTGTGCACAGCTGGATGTGGGGCATGGATCTGTCCCTCTTTGGAGTTCTGGGGGAGAACTCCTCCCACATTGTCTCACCTGTTGCCCCCTTTCACGAAATATTATTAATCACTTATGGACCAGTGCTGGAGCCTAGTAGTCACATGCAGCCCAGTGCTAATCACAGAGTAAATGTTTATAGATGGTTTTTAAGCTTTGATTAATACATGTTAGTTGTATATATTAACGAGATTCAGTGTGATATTTCCAGACATGTACATAGTGTGCACTATATAGTTGATCAAATCCAACTTCTCTTCACCCCATACACACCCTTTCTAATCTTCAAGAATCTCTATTCTACATTTAGGTCAACATTTATTAACTCCCACGTGTGAGATGATATTTGTCTTTCTGAATCTGGATTATTTCACCTAAAATATTATGTCCCAATTCCATCTGTTTAGCAGTGTAACAAGGCTGAATAGTACTCCTCATGTATATATGGCACATTTCTGTATTCATTTGTCTGCTGATAGGCACATGGAGGTGCAGGCATATCTTTGGGGTATAATTTCATTTTCTTTGCATATACACTCAGAAATAGGATAGTTGGAATCCACAGTAAACTTATTTTTAGTTTTTTGAAGACTGTCCATACTGTTCTCCACAATGGCTGTACTAATTTACATTCTTACCAGTGGTGAGAAAGAGTTCTTTTTCTCCACATTCCCAATAACATTTGTTGTTTTGTTTTGTTTTGATAAAATTAGAACCGTGGTAATCTCATTGTAGTTTTGATTTGTTTTTACCTGATGGCTAAGGATATGGAGCAATCTTTTTCATATTCCTTGACCATTTGTATTCTTTAGAGAAATATTTGTTCAGACCATTTGCCTATTTTTAAATTGGACTCTTTGTTTTCTTATTATTAAATGTTTTGAAGTCCATGTAAATTCTAGATACTAACCCTTTGTCAGATGGAGAGCTGGCAGATACATTCTGCCATTCAATAGGTTGTTCTTCACTCTACTAATGGTTTCCTTTACTATGTAGCTTTTTCACTTTATGTCATCCCATTTGTCAATTTATACTTTTGTTTTCTGTACTTTTAGGGTTCTTCATAAACAAATAAATGTTAAAATGGGCAAATAATGAGTGTTTGTTCCATTTCTGATATAACTATTGATTCTCCATGTATTTGTATAAAAAGCGAGAACTCCATGGACACAGGTAAATACTGGAAAATTGCCTTCTTGTCAGGGGAAGAAACACGTCTCTGGAAAGCCTTTTTCCTCAAAATGAGTATACAGACATCTGTTTTCTGGTTTACCGCTGGACCAAGATGTGTGCCCGCAGAGGTCCATGCTCTTCTGAGCACTGAATGAATGCCAGGGCTTGACTCTTTTTTAGACACCCCTCCTGAGCCTTGGACCAACTTTACATTCCTTTGTTTTTTCTGCTTACAGGTGTTCCTGGAGCTACAGGGCCAGCAGGGATGCCTGGAATAGCTGGCCCAGTTGGGCCTAAAGGGGACAATGGCTCTGCTGGGGAGCCTGGACCAAAGGGTGATGTTGGACCAAGTGGTGAGCAACAAGGCATATAATTTAAAAGTCTCCAAGCAGTGCTTCTGCCAGTAGGATAATCCAGTAGCCATCATGGGGTCCAACCCAGAAAAAAGGAAGACAGCTGTTCTGAAGGCAGCACTGGGCTATCTCAGGATGGACTAGGCCGGTCGTGGGTGCCTCTTTGCCTCTCATTCTAGGCATCCCCACTGCCAAGAAGGCTCAGTGTCACTGACTAAGATGGTCTTTTCCCCCAGGACCTCCAGGACTTCCAGGTGCGCCTGGTCCAGTGGGAAAAGATGGTCCCCCTGGAAAGCAAGGAAACATAGGACCTCAAGGCAAACCTGGCCTCAAAGGAGAGGCTGGACCCAAAGGTAGGTAAATGTGTTGTGGCTGATCTTGGAACAAGAAAAGAGGAAGAAATAACAGTATGATCTATGCTGTAACATGAAGCATACTCAGAACACCAGAAGGAGCCCAGACCATCTCTGTCAGGAAGGCTTTTCCATGTGCTCCTGCCCACATTCCCGATGTTGGCACTATCTTACTCTTAACTTGCACAGAGCAATCCCAAGCAGTAAGGGTCCCTCTCTAACTCTGGGGTGTGGGTTAAAAGCTCTACTACAGGGGAGATGACACTTGCTGAGAGCACTCTCCACAGCATTCATCCCTATTTGTTTGTTCCTCAGGAGAAGTAGGTGCCCCAGGCATGCAGGGCTCCACAGGAGCAAGAGGCCCCATGGGCGCTAAGGGGGAGAAAGGTGCCCCTGGTGAACTCGGAGCCCCTGGAAGTGCTGGGGCAGCAGGTGAGTGATGGGGGGATCTGGTCCAGTTTGTGAGGACCAGTTGGATCCCGCAGCCCAACCACATGATGCCAGAGCTGATACTGCCATTCATTCAGGCCTCAGTAATTTTTCTTGTTACCGATACACAGTACCAACACCCACAACTCTAAGGAGGAAAGGTTTATTTAGTTTACAGTTTGTAGTTCTAATCCATAGTTGGCTGGCTCCAAGGCAGAGTGGCATGATAGAAGGGATGGCAGAGGAAGATGCTTATGGCATGGCAACCAGATAACAGGGAGTGAAGGGAGGAGCCAGCAAGGAAAACAGACCCTTCCAGGCCACACTCTCAGTGTCCCACCTCTTTTAACCAGACTTCGCCTCCTAACAAGCATGCCAGCTATAAACCCCTACTGAGAAGCTCCACCTTGAGTGCATGAGGCTGTTGAGGGCATCTAGATATAAATCATAACAGAGTCTGTATCCACAGAGGATGCAGCTCTAGGCTCTAGGAACCATCTGCAGGGAGGGGGCAGTGTTACTTTGTATCCAAGGAAGTCAGTTGCCAATGACAGGGACAGCTGTGCATGGAGGAGGAAGAGACAGACTGCTGTGTTCTGAAACTTAGTCTGTGTGTGGGAAGGTTGTACTGCTGGGTAATAAGGACAGGGTGTCTACTACAGAGAAGGTGAAAATTCTGCAAAGTGGCTGACTAGTTTACCCTGCTCTTCTTGGATCCCAGGGTCTGCTGGAGCTGTGGGTCCACAAGGACCTGTGGGTGCCAGGGGACCCCCAGGACTGAAGGGCGACAGAGGTGCCCCTGGAGACAAAGGAGCCAAGGGTGAAAGTGGGCTTCCAGGTAAGGCAGTGGCTCCTGGCTCAAGGAACTTTACTTGGGAATGGCATGAGAGGAGGAGCCCTCTCAGCTCAGGATTCTCCTCCTCTGGGATGGGACTGGAGAAAGGCTAGAGGGCTGGAGGGCAGAATCAGGCTTTGGTCTTAGCTGTGCAAGTAAAAGAGCAAATCTAGGCAGTTTCCTCAATCAACCTGAAAAAGCAGCAGCCACCCTCCCAGCTCATGCGATGGTGTTGAGCATCCAATGAGCCTGTGGATGGGCAACACAGGAGGACTGTATATTCTCACTCCCCACCCACACATGGAAGAACGGGGATGCCATTATTATATTCCCAGAATTTAGAATGACAGTAGCATCTGGATTGAGTCAGTGAGGCTCATGGCTCAGTTTGTCCATAACAGAACCCTAAGAAATCCCTGTACACAGAGGCCCCCTAGATTAACAGATGCTGCCTTACTGGGAGCTGCAGCCCAGCTCCCCACAATCACTCCCACTATCCACCTGCAACTGGACACCATTCCCCAAGACCCAGGCTCTGGGTCATTCCCAGACTGTGCTGGACAAACCTTCACCTGACATTTCCCTCCTTTGCAGACATCACTGCTCTGAAGCAGCAGGTAGAGGATTTGAGGGGACAGTTACAGAGCCTCCAAGCTGCCTTCTCTCGCTACAAGAAAGGTGAGCTCCTGGACCACTATCAGCCCTAACTGATCTGGGTCTTGGGGTGGGGTTGAGCTGGGGTAAAAGCTTTGGCTAGGCCTGAGAGTGAGCCTCGCCCTAGATCTCCAAGAGGGATGAACAGGGACATATCTGGAGCTAGGAGTGCGGTTGAAACAAAGGCTGGGCTGGAGCAGGGAGGCCATGTTCTCCAAGAATTAGAAGTAGATCCAAACACATGTAAGTGGGTATGGCCTTGTTAGAGGCTCACCAGGCTGGCAGGAATACTCTCAAAGTGACCAGGTATCTGAGCACTCTCCTGGCTTCTGTGCCCTGAGGTGGTTCTGCGGACCTGCCCCTTACCCCTGTGCATGCCCTGTGCTGGTCTCTGCACCACATAAGAGGATGTGTGTCGCACTCCTAGGGGCCAAGTGTAGGGGGCCATAGATGACACTGCAGCCCAAGGAAGCACTGAATCCAAGTGCTATTCTAAGGGACAATGCAGGTGGGATCTAGCCTTGGTGTGTGGCCAGTGTGCATCTCCTTTCCAAGTGCTCCTGAGCCAAGCAGGGACCATACCACCTCTGGGCTCCAGCTGTGATGGCTCTGCCTGTAGCTCTGAGACATGTGGAGCAGAGGTCCTGCCCTCACCCTGCAATCCTAGGTGCCCCAAACATCCAAGACTACACCCCTTAGTTCCCTGTGACTTTTGGAATCCACCTCAGTTCCCAGCTGCCCCTCCTCTTCTTCTGTCTTCCTAACATAGGTTTTGACTCCATGCCTTTCTAAATTAGAAAAAGAAGTTTTCTGACCAAGTAGAGCATGAAGGGGCTCACTCAGGTAGGATTGACTTCTAGGTTTCCAAACTCAGATGAGTTTCAGTCATTTGGCATTTCTCCCTCCTTCTACAAACACATTCATAGATGCATTCATTTGTATAGGCACACTGATAGAAACACAAAACATGCATGTAGGTGCACTTAAATATCACCCTTCATTCCACATCAATCTACATATATGGGCTCAAATGTATATCTAGACACACATCCACAGACACACACATCCAGAAAGAGCTTAAACACTTTTTGCAGAGTGTTCCATCACTGGAATGCTAAGCATGAATTATTTGTATCCTACTTTTCAAGGTCATTGCCATGGTCTAGTTTTTCAAATAAGGACTCATGGGCACATTTATATGGCATGTGTATACCTACCTAAGGCAGCATGAACCCAGTGAAGATGCACAGATCTTGTATTGACCTTGCTCAGGGCTCTCTGGGTTTGATTCTGAGCCCACAGCAAATCTTCCCTCATGTTTTTGTTAAAAATGCTCAGAGATAGACAGTGAATCAGGGTGTAACCTGAACCCTGCCAGCCTGAGTCAAGGAACACAGCCCTCTCTGAAGCCTTGATAGCCCAATGTTCTCTGTGGGTTTCCATGTGTAGACTCAGAACCACAGGGATGGGGACAGATTGGCATAAAGAGCTGCTTGGCATTTATGCAGCTGATGCTTTCATGAAGCAATACCTTACTTTAGAGAGATCAAAAATTGGAAACCCTACCCCATCCCAAAGTCCAAAGGGAAATTACTTCGTCTTGTCCACCTGGACAGTCATAACCAGGGTAGGCCTTGATATTTGACCTTCCAATTCCCTTTTAGGGCTCTCTCCTATACTGCCCCACACAGAGGCACCTGTCAGACACCCTCACTCCAGCATCCAGCATTGCCAGGACAGACTGACTGGAGGAAGCGCCACACACACACACACACACACCAAGAGGCTGACCTGGGACTAAACCTGAGCAGAAATTGACATATAGCAACCTCAGATGTCCTCCCTGTCCTCTCCTAGGCCCACTCCCCCATCACACAGCACAGACACTCTCTTACAGTTCAACATTTTAGCAACGGGGTGACAAAGGAGTCCCTGCATTTTTTTTTTTTTTTTTTTGGTACACTCAGAAATGGGCACAGACCAGAAAATCATTTCCCTGGGAAAAGCTGTTTAATTCTACATAGTAAAAATCAATTCCAGCGTACAATATGGGCTGACACAAGAAAAGAGCATTGGGGCTGGGGGTTTAGCTCAGCGGCATAAGCGCCTGCCTTGCAAGCAGGCAGTCGTGAGTTCGATCCCTGGTACTGATGAAAAGGAAAAAGACAAAAAAAAAAAAAAAAAAAAAAAAAAAAAAACAGAAAAGAAAAGAGCATCTCTAAGCTTTTGATTCAGGCTGGATAAGGTGCCCTCCTCAACTGTGCATTTGATGCCTGCATGACTGTGGCACTGAGGCTTCTCTGAGTCTGTATCTTGCTTGCATCCTTTCTCATGTCCTGACACCCTGCCACTGCCACAGAAGGCTTGGGTCACAGCGCAGAGATCTCAGACCCTTGAGCTCTGACCAGCCTTAACCTGACTCTCCTTCTTCCAGCCGAGCTCTTCCCCAATGGCCAGAGTGTTGGGGACAAGATCTTCAAGACAGTGGGCTCTGAAAAGACTTTTGAAGGGGCGCAAGAGATGTGCAGTAAGGCTGGTGGACAGGTGGCCTCCCCACGCTCTGCGGCAGAGAATGCTGCTTTACAGGAGCTGATCACAGCACAGAACAAGGCTGCTTTCCTGGGCATGACAGACAGCAAGAAAGAGGGCACATTTGTCTACCCCTCAGGGGAGCCCCTGGTCTATTCCAACTGGGTCTCTGGGGAGCCCAACAATGCTGGTGGGGTAGAGAATTGTGTGGAGATGTTTACCAATGGCAAGTGGAATGACAAGAATTGTGGAGAGCAACGCCTCGTGGTCTGCGAGTTCTGAGCCTCCCACCCCTGAGAGAGGTGCCAACATCCCAGTGAAAAGGTGATCTATGCCTGTGAAAAGCATTGGAAAGGAATGCTGCAGATGCCTCTCGGAGCAAATGCAAGATGCCTTCCCACAATGAAGCCCAGCAAAGAAGGCGTCATCCAGTTCTCCCAGTTGCAAGTAATAAAAGTCGGTTTCCATTACCCCATCCCAAAGTCCAATGACTCCTTTCCTCCTCCTTCACCAATTCTCAGCTGCATCTGACTCAGCTGAATATCCCTCCTCTTTCAAACTCTGCCTTCTCTGGGTTTTCAGAGGCACTATTGTTGCCTGCCTTGATTCTCATCATCCAGCTACTACTCACCAGCCCCTGTTCATCCTCATCACTCTCCTTGGCCAATGGATGGGGCAGCATCAAGGTTCAGCTCTCGCTCTCTGCTGTCCTTACTCTCACTGCAGGATGAGCACATCTGGCTCTTTCCCCAGTGTCACATTCTGTCTACAAGGTGAGGACTCTTGCATATAGATGCATGTTCAGGACCCTTTCTAAACACCAAACTTCTCTCTTGCAGGATGGAGCCCCAGAGCTGAAAGCGTAAGTGGTTGCTTCCTCCTAAGTCTAGGAAGCTGCATACAGCTTCCTCTTTATCTCTCTGCCTAGCATCTCTGCAGCCTTGTCAATGGGACAGGAGTGTCAGCTCACAGTTCTAAAGCCACCTAATGGAACTTAAGAACAAAGAGTGTCTCACCAGGTTCAAGTCACTTCAACCCTTTTTTTACCTGGCAGTTTCAGGAACCTTCTTTCTCACTGTGCCTCACAGATAATCTAGCTAACTCATCCTCTTCTTTTTCCAAATATTGAAACCAAGGCACAGAGAAGGGAGGGGATTTGTCCAGGGACACAGTGAATGGCACGCTTAGAAATGGGTCACAAACAGGTCTTTCAGACCCCAAAGCTTGTGCTTTGGATCTGTAAATATATTGGCCAAAGACTGCTGAATATTTGGTTCATTTCATTACTAAGGTATTACAAAAAAATTTCTTAAATGACACCTGTGTTCACGAAATGGGAATGACACCTGGGTAAACCACAGGCTTGCAAAAGGGACTCAAGTTCCTCTTCCCAAGACAGGAAATCACTCTCTCCTTTGTTCAAAGAGACAAAGGGGATTGCTCTTTCCAGAAGAGGCCTCCAAACCCCACCTCTCTTCCTAGAAGTCCTGAGGCACATAGAATGTCCAGAAATGAAAGCCACATTTCCAGATCACATGCAGGATCTCTGCTAAGAAATTTCACCTATACTGGAAAAGTTCCCACTTACTGGCAGTTTCTGAAATACACATCTGTTGTGCAATAATGGGTAAACAATTCTCAGGTATAGAGGCCACACTTGGGGACACTCAGGAAACCTCTTTCTGTTGCAAGTAAGAAGAAGCAACTGGATGTATTTTGAGTCAAACATAAAGCATTTTTCTACAAATAGATGGTTCTGAACAAGCTCAAGAAGTACCAGAACATCAAAAGCAAAACCATGCCATCTCCCCAGCTTCTAGGTCCTCTGTGCTTCTTTTCCTCCTTTCCACATTGGCCTTTTCTGCTTCCTGGGTCTCTACTGCTCATGGATAGTGAGGCAGCATCAGATACTACACAGAAGTAAGGAACTCTCACTTGCTAAGGAAATGAGTCTTCTAGGTCAGGGCTCACCCTGGTCCAAGCAACTGAGCTTTGGGGCATAGTACCCTAAAGCAGTGGTCTCGGTTGAACCTCTCCAAGACCAATACCCACCTACCCCAATACTTATGCCAAGATTTTTTCTTTTGAAGGGGAAAGAAAGAGTAGTCAAAAAGTATGAAGAGAGTAATCTCCCATAGTGTTGTAGGTCTGGAATACTGAGACCTCAACCTTTTTAAAAGACCCTCCAAATCCTCCAGCATCATGTCTCATGATGGCAAGAAGGGACTCTGCATTTCCAGTCTGATTAAATAGAGGACTAAAGCAAATATTGCAGAAGTTCAAGTCCTAACTTGAACTTGAACAGAGGCTGTCCTGTACTCACATGCGTGGATAAAGTTCAACCAGGATCTGAAGCAGTGTCCAGTTCCCCCATCAACCTATTAGCCAGGGTCCACCCTGATTCTGGGGATATGATGACCCTCAGAGTACCAGGTTCCACTATGGGAGTGGCTGACTTCCTTCTGTTTCTGGAAGAGGAATCTTTTGAGCAGTTGAAGTATGAAGGCCCTGTTCAGTTTAATAGCATATTCTCAAATTTCCTTCTGCTTCTCCACCTTCCTGTCACCAAACCAGCCCAAATACCATATTGAAAAGCCTTCTGATGTTTTCTTTTCTAGTAGGATCCTATTTTTGTTCTGAATTGTTTTGATATACAGCATTGACAACTGAATTGCATAAATTCAGGGAATCATCAATAACTCTTACCTTCCAGATGAATTAAAATTAATTCAAGTTTAATGATGTACTTGACTTTTCAAATTAACTACATTTTATGTACTAGAGCAAATAAGCATAGCTAGCAGGGGAAATAAACTGTTAATTTAGATGTCAAATATTTATCCAGGCACTGGATACAAAGATGGAAATGACTGGTCATGCTTTTGTGGATCCCACAGCTGTGTATGCTTCTGACCCAACAGAGAAGTAAGCTGTAGAATTTTCTCCCAACAGTGGGCGGCAGAGGTTCTATTCATATAGATGAAGAATGAATGGATGGATTCTAACCAGGAACTAGAGGACAGCTTGTGCAATCACCGAGCTGCTCAGAGACCAAGACTCACTCAATTGCTGTCCACTATAGTTACCTATGACAGTTATCAGGCTTCCATAAGGAGAGAGGCATGGAAATGCAGAGTGTAACATTTCTGAGGGACTGGACAAGAGCAAGTGCTTACTTCTGTGGCACCCTCTCCTCCAAGGCATAGTGACTGCAGGAGGATTAGTGGCTATAAAGTGGCTCTGGAATCCAACATTCAGAACTCAGAGCAATCACATGGAAGGCAACTGAATCCAAATGGACTCACAAAAAGGTCTGGGGGTCTTGGACTGACATATTTTGAATATTAACATTTTTGACCTTCACTTAAAAATTTTCTAGGTGCTCTCTGGTGCCAGTTGAGCCACCTTTGTGCCACAAAGAGGGATTTAAGGACCTGCCTGAGCAAAGTATCCCAATGTATATGTACTTAGTAAGTAGAATGAATGGAGTAGAAACTGAAAGAGTCATGTGAATGGCATCCTTAATTCCTGCTTGGAAGTCAGAGCAAGGTGCTGATGAGCATAAAGTATTTTTAAGATGTCACCAGGCCCTTTGATCTGAGGTAGGAGCACAGTGACCTCGCTGCCAGTTCTTCTGCATATTTATTTTTTAATTTGATTAGCACTTCATTTCTTGTGTAAGTGGCTAGGGCCAGGCCAAGGCTGAAGGGCTCCACATAACTTCAGGACAAACAAATGCATTCTTGGACTAGAGTGAGGGGCCGCACTGAAAAGAGAGGAGATAAGCAGGGGGTTTTGAGCAAACCTGAAATGCTCAGCCCCAGATAGAGGGAGAGACTGGGAAAGCAGAAAGTGGGTGAGAAGGTGCAAATCTCCAAAGAATGTAGAAGTTTAGTGCACTTCCTTATTCATGTTCACGGAAAAAAAGGGAGCATGATTGACTCTGTGAGGACTTCATGATGCAGTTGTAAAGCTGTCAGGAAACAATGAATCATAGCTTAAAATATATAAAATAGACTTGGTCCATCTTGTGTTAAAAGGTTTCATAAAACTAGCATGGTTGAAATAGTATATTAATGATATTTCAATATGCAGAAAAATAAAGAATAGAAGTTCAAAATATATGACAATAACCAAAATTACAGGAAAGCAATGATTTGTGAATTAATAATGCTTTATTAAATGACAATATTTAGAGAAAAAGTAAAATCAGACTCTTTTAGTTACATTAGGATCAAGATTAAGACTGAAAATGTAGCTCAGCAGTAGAGTTTTTCTTTCATGGGTGTTACTCATTGTCAAGACAACAAATACTTGACACACAAAGCTAAGGAGGAAACGTTTATTTAGCTAACTGTTTGCTGAGGTTTCAGTCCATAATCAATTGGCTCCAATACAGGGTAACATGGCACAGGGGCAACTGTTTAGGTTGGAAGAAGATAACAAGAGAGGAGGGAGAACGAGTCTCTTTCCTCCCTTCAGTATGTAGGCTATCTGCCCTAGGGAAGGTGTAGCACTTACATCCTTAATCTCAGCACTAGATCACAAATCAATCACAAACTCTAGATTAAGCCACCCCAACAAACCCACCTCCCATGACCATATGAAGCTCTGAAGGGACATCTAGATACAAGCCATAACAATGGATGTGGCCAGAGATTTGATCCTCAACATTGAAAATAATGATTGTACAGGGGAAAGAAACTGCTACCCTGATAGATATCTGGCACAAGTTTGTGTTCTCTAAAATCTAAGAGTGAATTTTAGGAACAATGGAGGTTCAGAGTAGAATATATTTATTGGGGGAAAGTGTCTGTGTGAGAAGACCCTGCCTTTTGTAGGGGTTTTTATAGAGAAATTCACAATGTGAAGCAGGCCCAAGGTGGGGAAAAATGGGAAATCACAAGGTGGGCATGAGACGAGACAAAACTATGATTAGTAATTGCTAGGGTAAAATTGATTAAATTGGGATCAAATGGGGAAGCAAGTCACAAAGCTAGTGGGTGTGAAACAGAAGGAGACATTTCCTGGAGGGCGTTGGGTTAGTAACTCTTTCCAATTTCCTCAAAGTGATCCATGATACCTGTTTAGAACATCAATTGTTGTTGTTCATACTTGAGGGAAGTATGTGGGTGCATTTCATTGTTCGGGTCTGGCCCATGACTGATATGCCTGCCCCTTCCATAGTTATAAGGTATCTTGTCTTGTGCACTGGCTCTACAACTGCCTATAACACTTTTATCTAACTTAGCTGCACACACATCATTTCTCCTGACTCCTTCTCTGGGAGTGTTTGAGACCAGAGTCCTCCAGAATAGGAAAGATGGCCCAGGATCTACTTCCAGATGCAAGGGAAGAGTCAGCACAGCTCAGCCAAGGAATCCCCCCACCCAAGGATGTTCTCACTGAGAATGAGGTCTCACTGGCAACTGGTACTAACTTTGTAGTTGTTATGGCCACAGGTTCTTACAGAAACAGAAAGTTGGATATTTCAGGAACACTGAACAGAACTACCTGAGTGCTTTCCCATCCATCATCTCATATCCCCTGGTAATGTCTTTGGAGTTTAATAGCTTGCAGGGTCTTAACCAGGCAGTCAATGGAGTAGCTGGTGACCTTTGTCTGCCATCAACATGGGAAAAGAAAGGGACAGTGTTAAGTTAAGTAGAAATACTATAGACAGTCAGACAAAGCCAGGGCCTCGAAGGACAAAGTGCAGAAGAGGAAATACATTGCAACCATGGGGGAAGCAGACACCTCCCCTATAAAAATCCCTAAAAAATGTAATTCCTTTGCAACCCACTTGGGATTCCTTCTGTCTCTTTCTGACAGAAGCTTTCTTTTCCCTATAAGTATATTCTGCTTTTAACCTCCATTTACCTAGAATTCATTGTCTAATTTTGGAGAAATGAATTCATACAAGACATCTAGCAGATTGGGAGTTTCTTTCCCCCACATCAGTTACCTGCATCTGCCATCAACATGAGGAAAGAAAGTATTCACCATCCTTAAGTGCAGTGTTTAAGAGGGCACTGACTTGCAGGACCACAGGGACAGCATAAGAGGAAAGCCCTAGAGTCACATCAATGAGTCCTTCCTAAGGCCTCTGCAAGAATCCTGATGCTTCCACCACTAGACTCTTGGGACAAGAAGCAAGGACTTTGTTCCAGAGTTACAGCAGGTAGAACAATGTTATATCTTCTAGAGACCTTTGGTAATATCCGCCCTCTGTGTACTGTATTCTGTGCTGGTGGTCCCAGGAGACTGACAGCACCCCTAAAGTGTCCTCAGTTACAGATCTATAGCCTGAGGCCGTCTGCATTATTGCAAGGTTGTGTGGTCATCACAAAAGCACAAATAAACGTTTTGAGCTCAGAAAGAATCTGATTCAGGGAAAAGTCCAGAAGTGCTGAGTAAAGAAAACTATATACTTCAAAGATACACACAGGACCCCAGGGGAAGCCCCCCAGTCCAGCCCCAGAGCAGTGAGGAGACCCTTAGTTTAAGGTGATTCAGAAGTCAACCTGGACAGGAATCTGTGAGTGAATCTGGGAGCAAGCTGGAGGGGGTATACCAGTCGTGCCCTGAAGAGTTCATCTTTTAGTTCGGAAAGGAAACAGATGGGGAACACTGAGTACTATTAGAGCCTTGGTCTTCTGTACAGCGAGGACTATTGGGGTCCAGCATGCTAGATACCTGTAGGTACCTAGAGGGACCTTGCCTGTGTATATGACTCTGAAAACTGGAGGCACAACTGGTTGAAATAAGTATAATAACCAGGCAAAGGTGAAGAGAAGGAGCAGGAGCGTCTCAAGCAGCAGGTAAAGGCTGTCTGGGTTTGCTGGCCTTGCCTCAGAGATAACCAACAAAGGGCAGCACGAGGCCACAGCACAGCAGGAGGCCAGGAGACCCCTGCAGACTAGCTGGTGCAGCCACTTTCCTCAGAACATGAATTTTGCTGCTTCTCTTGTAGATCCATCTTAGAACGGTGTTAAACTTCAGAGGAAGGAGTTAGGTCCTACACTTAGGGAGACAACTCAGATTTGTTCACTGGATGCATTCATTTGCTGAACAGTTATTGATTGCTTGTGTCTGTGGTTTCCTGCATTGGCAGGTACTGGGGTGCAGAGATGAATACCATAGTCCTATCATAATTGCAGCAACAGGGCTCATGCTTTGGTGGCATTATTGGAGGTCATGATTGTTTCACTTGTATCAGTTTATCTAATCCTCTGAGGTGAATACTGATATTATCTTACTCATACCACAGAAAGTATACAACCCTTACCTAGGGCTACACAGTTGCAATGTAGTGGAGACTGGATTTAAATCCAGGGAGTCTAGGCTGGAGGCATTTCTCTTAGTGACTTTGCTGCAGTAACATAAGTAAACAGCCAAGATATCCAAAAGCTATCATAGCTAAAAAGAATAGGAGACATGTGTTGTGGTGAAGACTTTGGGTGGGGGCCACTGTGACCAATCAAGGACTGGGGTAGAGGGCAGGGATGCCATATGATCAAAGACCTGCACAGTGGAAAATCATGCTCATGCCCAAAAACTTGTGGCGCTCCAGTGTCCCACTGCTCAGGGCCCCTGTGGACCTTTCACGCATGGCGAAGCACCCAGCCTCCTCCCCTATCTCTGGAGCCACTCAGAACTGATGCTTTTCAGAGAGGGGAGAGATCTGGGCACAGATGGAGAAGCAGGTGTGCAGAAAGATGTGAGAATTTCAGGCATATGTCTGTCAGTTTTCATACAGACACACATCCATACATGTGCAGATGAAAACAGTCCAGGCCTGTTGACACACATGGCCCCCTTGGGATCTCAGATTCTGACATTCCCCAGGACCTCTTTCAGCCCTTGATCCACTTCCTGAAGTCCCAGGGGTAGCAAGACCCTGGGGATACGCTGGGGAGATTTGGATAGATAGCAGGTTTTAGAGAGGGAGATTGGTTGATGGAGAAGAATTACTTAGCCAGACATGATACTATAAAACAGGACCTCCTTACCTCAGACAGGGCCTCCACATAATAAAGAAGCCCTGATTTCCAGTGCTGGGACACCTCTGTGATGCTGACATGTATGCAGAAAGCTACCATGATGGCAGTATTTCTTAGGAGCAGTTTCCAAAACTGGTCAAACAACCAGGTCCTACAAGGGCCTTATTTAGATGAGAGAGCTCTTATGTTTTAATTCATTGGGTCCAAATTGGGGCCAGTGTCATATGAATTTATCAAGTGTTCTAGTAAGTTCTTCCACTCACTATTCTGAAGAGCTGGAATAAGTCAGGCTGGCTTTGGTCTGGAGTGGAAGCCCAGTCCAAGGCATCTGTATGGTTAAGCAGTGGCTACCTGCACATTTCTTTGAAGCCTAACACTTGTGTTTGCCTGAACAAGAGTGGTTCCAACCTAGGGCCACAGCCTCCTCCCACACAGGCTGCCATCTGTGTTGGGAGTGCTCCTTCCCAAACAGACTCTAGCACCCTAAGCACCTCCCACCTTCCCAGCAATCTGCCACCACTTTACAAAGCCCGCTGCCCAACATCTCCAACCCAGGCCCCTCATGACATCTGAGCCTTTTCTGGTTAGTGGGAGGTGGAGATTCCTCATTCCTGGAAGTTTCCAAAGCACAGACTATTTAATTTACACAATAAGCAAACAACCTTCTGGGTCACAGGCTGTACTATGACACATGCAACCAGGGTCTGATTGCTGATGCTGGCTGATCACAGGGAGGGATGGAGGTTTCACAGATGTAATACTGGGCCTCCAGTTGATACTCTGTCCAGCTCTGGCTTGGCCATAGCACATTATCAGCAGAAGACTTGTGAGACTCTAAAGAAAGACATTCCTTAGGAACAAAACCTCAGGATTCTAGGGCCTAGAACCTATGCCAACACCAGGGCCTTGAATGTCAAAAGCTTTGGTAGCTGTTTTTGCTGTGTGACATGAAGTAAGTAACAGTCACCTTGGCTATGTCTGTACCTCCACAAAGCTGACTTGCAGACTAACTTAAGTCAAAGTCCCCAGCTCAGCAACTTGCCTTTCTGACATTCCCTGCCTGGCTTCCTATAAGATTCACAAACAACTGATACATACTTAACCCACAATTAGCTTGCAAACAACTGATGGGCAACAGAAATTGAGAACAGTCCTCAGATCTCCCAGCTCTGCCCCTGGGTAGTCCACAGTCGGCCACTGACTTGTGCAGCTTTTAAAAAGAAGCCTCAGAAACTAAGGTACAAACAAAGAAAGCAAGGAAAGCACTTGGTGTGTAGGGAGGAGCCAACCTCTTTCTGCTTCCAGACTCTGACGCTCCCAGACCCCAGGCCCTCACTCCTTCAATGCTAAGGTGGTTCAGGAACCCTGGTTTCTGCTCCAAAGGCATGGTCACAGGGTTGGAGCCCAGGATGCAGACTTCTGAATACTAGCTTCTCTCACAGGGTGCTTGGAGCCATGACTTTGGCTTCTCTCTCTGTACATAGGCACAAAAAGAATCTTGTATTTTCATTAGCTCAGTTTTTCCCAGGAAAACTGGCAGAATTGGGAAATGAAGCTAGGAAGGCAGTTTGTCTCAATCCTAGCTTGAAGTCAGAATAGCACCTGTGTGTGGCAGCAGTTCTGGTAGGATCGTCAGGTGTAAGAACAAGCCCTGCCCAGGATCCAGCTTATGGAGGAGCCTTCTACCCTGCGTAGGCAAGGAGAAGGAATGAGAAAATCATCTCCAAGGGGCAGAACATGGGGTGAGGTCATGAGTGGGGGAGAAAGGGCAGTGCCTGGGCAATATGGAGAAGGGCATGAGAGGGCATAAGGCCAGTGATAAAGGGTGAGGTCATGAGTGGGGGAGAAAGGGCAGTGCCTGGGCAATATGGAGAAGGGCATGAGAGGGCATAAGGCTAGTGATAAAGGAATGGGATGGTGTGGAGGTTGGAGAAGGAGCAAACCAAAGCCACCTGGGGTTGGGGGGGAGGTAAAGGGATGAAAGACCTGTGCTTGCCCTGACATCTGTGTCTCCCTTTCCCTAATGCTGGGAGAGAAACTCAGTCTTCTGCATTTTTACAGCTGCAGACAATGTCCTTTGTCACAGTGTGCAAAGGGAGGGATTCATCCCAGAATACATTCCCCCTTCCATAAGACGTATGTGAGAGCAACCTGTCAATTTCCTCATCTTTTTCTTGACTATGAGGAAATTCAGGTGAAAGAAAGTCTTGTGCTTGGTCATAGTAACTCTGTTATTCTGGGTCATCTTTGGTCACCTTTGGTCTAGATCAGCTTCCTCCTTTGTGTAAAGCTTCTAGCCCATCCTTCTCCTATTTGCCTTAATCTAGGGTTTCATGGATGCTTCTAAATTTTAAGCAGTTTCCCATGCCTTTGGCAAGCAGTGTGGGTCTGAATTAGAAGAAGAGCCTCATTCATCACAAAAGTACTTTCTCCCAGCCCCCAAGTATAGCACCTCAACAAGAGCTTTGTGGGACTGAAAACTCAATCATGTGACAGTCTTGGTGTGCTAGAGATGCAGGGCCAAATTCCTGCCACCTCCACCCTGCTGCCCCACTCCTTCCTGAAGAGTCTTGCAACAGGAGACCACCTGGCTGGAGAAAGTGCTGTCCATAGTCACTTCTCATTAGCCAATCAGTTCATTCATTTGTAATTTTTAAAATATATCCAGTCAACAAATCTTCATCAAGCACTTATTAACTACAGAATGCTTTTCCATGGGTTGGGGCTGCATAGCTAGCACAGCAGTGTAGCCCACCTTGGGCTGACCAAATTCCTCACCCTATTATTAGTTTCTCTTTACTTCTTCATCCAGAGGCTAAATAGTACCCTTCCCTCCACCCCATAAAGGAAATGCTTAACATTAGGCAATGGAAAGCTATCACTAGATTCTCTTTCAAAGGAGCAAAGAGCTCAGCAAAAAGCCAGGAAAGAGACTAAGGACCAAGGACCAACGACTGAGGAAGGAGCTGCTTCAGGCTGAGAACTCACAGACAGCCAAGAAGGCAGCTGTGCAGGTGATGTCATTCCACGTCCCATCAGTCTTCAGAATGACACAGTCCTCCCCTGTGCCATAGTCATTAGGCTCATCTTTCTTCCAGTTGCTGTAGGCCAGCCTCCCTCCTGTCACGTACATGAATTGGCCTTCAGTCACCTCATCCGTGATGCCCAGGAAGACGTTGTCCTTAGCCACCTCTTGGACAGCTTTGTTCTCTTCAGCATTCCTGGGAGTGGCCACAGTGCCCCCAAGCTCTGCACACAGACCCTTCACCTTGGCAAAGCTCATCTTTTCACCATTGGTCACGTAGAACTTCTTCCCAGACTTTTTGCCCAAAGAGAAGCCTTGCACTAAAATCATAAAAAGCAGATGAAGCTGACACAGTCTGGCACTTACCCAAGATTGAAGACCTAGCTCTCTGAAAACTCAGGATTCTGAAGAGAGTCTCATACTCACCCTTCAGGCCAGAGCCTTGGAAGAAGGCAGATCCCAGATGCAAGGCCAGGGGAGGGACACTGGATGCCCCCTGGGCTCTCTTGGGGAATCAAACCCTTAATACCAACATCCATTAGAAATCACACCAGCAAGTGGACATCAGGGCCATGCTGGGGACCAGGCTTGGGCACAGTGGATGTGGAGGGAAGAGCAGAGATTTTGGAGACCACATTCACCTCTGTTTCTGCTCCTTCCTAGTTAGGTGATGTTGAAAGAGTTTTTACACTTCCTGACTTCTCTTTGCTCTGTCTGTAAACATAACAAGTATAATAACTATCCTAGGGGTGGTGAGGGGACCAAATGAAACCATATTACAAGAGGATGCCAACCTAGCACAAGTCCAGGCATTGTCAACACAGATTCCCAAGCATCAGTTCTCTTGTAACTCCCCAAATCTAGTTCACACTGAGGAAAAATGTGAGTGCCTAAAATGATTGGGAACAGAGCAAAAGCTTACGTTTTCTGATGGAATTCAGTTCCGATTTCAGGGTTCTTATTTCCCTCTCTAAGTTAGCCAGCTTACTCTCAGCAACTGCAAAGCAACAGAAAAATGAGTATTTTATTGAGAACTTAAATTGGAAACCAAAGCATCAGAAAGAAATGGCTTAATAAAAAGTAAGCCTATTTCAGAAAAATAAGAAAGCTAAAAGAGGCAAGTAGAAGAATAAGTAAGTAACTATATTCCTGTCTCCCTGGACAGTGATACCTACTCTCAACAACTTGTTGAGTATACAGTAGCTTTGGAGTTTTTCTTCATATAGTGTTTAAATATTACTACATCATAATAATTTAGAAGATAATACACAATTATTATTTTTTGAAAATTATTTTTGTGGGGTCTGGAGATTTAGCTCAGCGGCATAAGTGCCTGCCTTGCAAGCAGGCAGTCGTGAGTTCGATCCCCGGTACCGATAAAAAGGAAAAAGACAAAAAGAAAATTATTTTTGTGATTCATTTTCATTTCTCCTTTTAGGTGAACTCTTTAAAACCTTCCTTATTTTGACAAATACTACTAAAAGGGTTATGGTTTTTCTTTCGTCTTCACACAAGTGTACCTAAACCGAGTTGAGTTTTATGGGACAGATCATTTTCATGCCACTCCTGAGACAATGGACACAAACACAATACCAGAATCCAGGTCCCACCTCTTTCAGACCGCTGATGAGACAGTGGCCCTGCAGAGTCTGGTAGTTAGGCCCCAAGTCACACTGGACTTGAGTAGCAGACAAGGACACTTGAACACCTTGTCTACTTTGGACAAGGAAGCAGAGTGGAGCATCTTTCAATGAAAGCATTGGAAAAAGGTTGCCTCCCACCTGCCCCGGATCCCAACGTCCTGGTCCCCAGTGGTCCACGCTGAGGTGCATTCCTTACCAGAACTGTCTCCACGTTCTCCTTTTTGGCCTTTGGATCCTGAAGGACCAGAACCGCCTGTTTTCCCTGGAGGCCCTAACTTTCCTGGAGGCCCCTGCAAGCCTCTGAGCCCTTGACCTGTTGAAAGACCAAGGGAATATGACCCAGAGTCTGCTGTTCATTTTTCCCTCTCTTCAACCCATCCTGATTTCTGTGTAGGAATGGGGTCACAAAAGCGGGATGCAACTTTGACTGGGAAGTGGTGACCTTCCCCATGGATTATGCTATGTGGGCTGGCCTCATTCAGAACCATCAGGGCAAAAGCTGAGGCTTCCCAGGTCTCATGCTCACCCTCATATGGCACAATCTCCCAAGAGAGGCAGAGACCCCACCCTGTACCTGGGTCTCCTTTCTCCCCTTTGGGTCCATCTCGTCCATCTCTGCCTGGGGTGCCATTGGTGACAGGGATCCCGCAGACAACCACAGAACATGTCTTCTGGGCATCCTCACAGGCTTTTACTTCTGAGCAGCAATCTCTCACCACACACAGGAGAAGGACAAGGAGCCACGGAAACAGCAGCATAGTCCTTTCTTGGAAAAGAGAAAGGCAAGGGAAAGAAGTCCATCTCATTTTGTTTGTTTGTGCTAGAGACACAACAGCAAGCAGAAACACTGAAATTACACCCTGGATTTGGAGGTGGATTTATTTATGTGGATGGGCACTGATCAAGATAATTTCCAAAATATCGGCCCCTGTCTCTGGTGGTCCAGGGCTTCTATATGATGCACAAGCAGGAGGTATAAAGGAAGTACAAAGATGAGACAGAACAGCCTGGAAGTTCTTCTGACCAGCTAGCAGGGTGAGATCATAGATTACAAGGGATATTAATGATCATCAGTTTATGAAGCGTGGTACAATGGTACAATTGGGCATTTTGTATGTTTCAGTTACAATCTCATGGTTATGGGCGTCAAGAAAGCAATTACAAAGCCTTGAGGCAGTTATAGAGCTAGGTATTCTCAAAAGACCAAAGTTTTAAAAAAGAACAATTTCTCTTGTATAGTTTTTCCCTTTCAGAGACAGCAGACCCAGAGAAAAGTATCACACCGCAGGCTACTAGGCAGATGACCAAGTAAAAAATACGAGAGTCAAATCAGTGCTGAAAAAAAGGCAGATGCCACAGATGAGTGGCCCATTCTCCTGTGGATCCTAGACCCCCTTGTCACAGGCCTAGTAGTTAGGTAGCCTGCAACCAGGGTCCTGGACAGTATATAAGTTACGGTGGTCTTGTGCAAACACAGAGAGCTCAGATGCTCCCCCATTTCTCCACTATTTTTCTTGGTCTCAGGAGCCTGCCTCTTTCTTCTTCCTACTTATACAGCCTTGGAGTAGACAGCAGTTTCTGCAACAGCCTAGAAGCTGTTTTGTGACAGGCACTTGCTGAGAGATCAGGACCCAGAGTGCCCTAAGATAGGCTCTGAGCTCAAAAAGGAAACTTTCTTGATCACTGATCCTGATCACATGAGACAACCCTTGGTTTGAGATTTCCCACCACCACGCCATTCCCACCTGGAGAGAATCTGGGCTCCTGCCATCCCAGTTCATTCAGGTGTGGCAGAGCCCTGGGCAGTGCACAGAGGCACTCCAGCACTCAGGTTGCTACCACCTTTGCTGGAGCCCAGGAGACTCCTCCATTAGGGAGCTTTGGCAACCTGACCTCCACAGGGCTCCAGGCGTCAATCCCAACCTATTGAACTGTCCTTGCCTATGGGCTCCCGAACCTTCCCCTCCTCCCAGACTTGGTGGTGCAAGGTGCCCAGATGGAAGGGACCTTCCATTGTAATGACATCCTTCTCCACAGTTCTGTCTTATATTTTTTTAACCTTGCCTGCTGGTACTAGAGATAACAGACAGAGCTGTGCTTTTCAAAGTATACATACTCCTCAATTCTAGCCCTCCCCTTGAAACAAACTGCCCTTTAGTTTGCAGATGGTCAGCTATATCCAGATCAGCAGACAGAGGTTCAGGTGGACCTGTCGACCCCACTATACCCTTACCTGGACCTCACAAGGTTCAGGCTGGGTGGTCAGACTCTCCACCTGGCTCCAACATTTTCCCCTAAAAATGACTTACAAAGGCTTCTGCAGAACACAGAGACAGTGTCAGTGAGATGACCCTTCAGAACAGACTTCTGGTAGCTATGTCCACAATGCTGGGACTAAGTGGCTGAATGACCAGGAGCAGCACTGCACTGGCCTTGAACCCCAGATTAATAAACAACCATCACTAGCACTTCTGTAACTGGGCTAATCCCTGGGCTGCTGAGGTGGGGGGCTCCAGCATGGTGCTGGGCAACTCTGTAGTTTGGCATCCTCAGCCTCTCCTTCAGCTGCCCTCTCACATACAGCCATCCTGCCAGCATGGCTGGCCTAATCCACTAAAATCTTAGGCTTTTAATATATTCCCTCCAGATATTTATTTCCCAAAAACTGCATAACCAATGTACTATACACACCTATGTTCATCTACATACAAACACATACATTATGAAGTGGGAAGAAAATGTTACATGGGAAGGGGAATAAGGGAGGGGAGGAGGGAAAGTAACGGTGCAAATGGGGATTACAAAAAAATGAAAGAGTGCAAGGAAAGTAATAGAAACAAAGTTTTATAAAATTTTGCAAATGGAGAGGAGAAGAAGGATTGAAGGGAGGGGAGGCAAATGTGGGAAATGAATTAAGATGTATTATGTAAAGTACAAATTCTCTATGATGAATATGATCATTGTGTATGTCAGAAGTATACCAATAAAATTAATTTTAGAACATAAATGAAAGAAAAAAAGAAAAGAAGCACACACACATGTATGAACACATACTTCTGTTTCAGTTTTTCTAATTAGTTTATGATTCTATCTGTGCTTTCATGTATTGTAGTGCCAGGTGGAGAAATTGAAGACCAGCAGCCTTGGGTCACCTGGTTCCTTGTTCCCAATCAAAACATTTATCAAGAGGCATCTTTGGGCATTCATAGGGGTAGGCCTGAGGAGAAAATATTTGTAGATAACTTAAATTCAAAGCAGAGTGTGAATATTTGCAGTTGTCCTCTCTGTTAGCTGTTTGCTAGAGCTTTGTCTTGTTAGTTGTTGTCCCTCAGATTTTACATTAAACTATTATCTCAGGAGTAAGGCTGCTCCTAACAATTTAATTTTAAGAACTTCTCAGTGGATAAATTGTATGTCTCTGATCTAATTGTTTTCATTTTTGTTTTTATTAGTATATATTTTCAGCATATAAGATTATATTTTTATTTTACTTTACTATTGAGAAATACTGGTCTGCTGAGTAACATCTATCAATGGAGATGGTGGAGTGGGAAACAGCAGAGAAAGGGCCTCTTTGAGAGCTGCCATCCAGATGCTGGAGTACAGCAATGTGAGAAAACAAGGAGGAAAGTGGATTCCCTGGACCCAAGAAAGATCTGAAGTGTAAATTGAAGCCTACAGAAAGAATGAAGAAACTTCAATGAAAAGAGATAGCTAGCGGCACCTTCTCCCTTAGACAGGACTCACTGATGAGAGAAGCAAATCAAACCTGCAGACACCCGGTGACAGCTGGTGACCCTGGAGATACAAAAAAAAAAAAAAAACTGTTTACAGATATCATGAGAGAAAACATCCTTGGTAGAGAAAAAGAATTTGGTATACAGATAAGTGAGGCATATAGATATCCAATTAGCCATGACCCATCCGCCTGCCAAAAAAATCTAAGGCCAGGCATATCATAGTCAAGATTCCAGAAATTCAACACAAAAAATAGAATGTTAAAGCTCTAAGGGAAAAGAAACAAATTTCCTATAAAGGCAAGCCCATCAGGATCACATCTGACTTCTCAGCACAAACTCTCAAGTCAAGGAGAGTTTGGAGTGAAGTATTACAAACTAAAGGAAAACAACCTCCAATTCATATTGATGCATGTTGCAAAACTATCTTTCAAAACTGATGGAGAAATAAGATACTTCCATGAAAAAGAACATCTGAGGAAATTTATGACCACCAAATCAGCACCTCAAAATGTTTGAAGAACACTCTAGAAAGAAATAACAAGGACTATAACTTCATGGACACCAACAGAAAGAATCTACCAGGCAAGACAACCAATTAGACAGAGGGAGGAGGATAAAAGAAGGGGAGCCAACAACAGGTAAATAATGTGACAAGGATGTCAACACATATTGGTTATAACTATCAATATTAATGGTCTCAATTAACCAATTAAAAGACACAGACTGGCAGAATGCTCACATGTAAACATTGTATTGTTTTTCTAATGTATGAAGCTAAAACAGTAAATATGATCCAAAATGTACAATAGATATTGTAAAATGAGAAGAAACTTCAAAAGGGGAAAGAAACTGGGATGAGTGAATGGAGAAAAGAAGAGAAAAGCAAAAAAATACATCACATATAATGTATATACATAGATGTGATAGTTATACTAATAATTTCTCTAGTTCATTGTAAAGAAAGATTTGTGCTCATATTGTTTGGACAATTAAACATCAATATCTTGTATTATGTTCAATTAATTTAATGATAAAGATATGCAATGTATTAACCATTGTTACTGTCTTATTATCTTGTTTTGAGATTGTTTTATTCTTTTTCCTCTTTAAAAAAAGATTATGCTGAGGATTTAGCTCAGTGGCTCAAGCACTTGTCTGGTAAGCACAAGGTCATAAGTTTGATCTCCACTACCAAAAGCTTAAAAATAAATAAATAAATGTTAAAAAAGATTACATTCATCATGGAGAGTTGGTACATGTACAAAACACATCTTAATTCTTTATAACTGCCCCTTCTCCTCTTCTCTCTGCTATTCCCTTCATCCCTCTCTTTTGAAAAAATCTATTTCCCTGTTTCTTATTATTTACCTTTTTATCTTGCTCTTTAATTTATTTATATTTGGGGTTTTCATATAAGAGAAATCATATGATATTTAAGCTCATGACTCTGATTTATTTCCCTCAGTATCATGGTCTCAAGGTGTTTCTCAACTGTTTCTCATGGTCTCAACTGTTTTCCTACAAACAATTCAAGTTTATCTTTTTTTCACTTCCAACTAAGTTAAGTTTTTTTATTCTTTTGGCAATCTCATCCAAGGTTAACTACTTCCACTGCAGGTAATTAAATATATAAGGCTCCACTTCAAAAGCTGAAACTGCAATGAGCAACAAAATCTTTTCCCTTCACTGCAGCTCACTTTAATTCTTGTCTTATGGTTCAGTCTCAGAGCAGTTTCCACTGCAGAAGGTATCTGAAGACAGTCATACTTTTTAGCAGTGGTCTGTGACCAGGCTCTATCTTCTCCACAAATACTGCTTAAAAGACTTAGTGTATATACATATTAAACTAAGAGGCATTCTCTCAAATGTGTTTCAACACACTTTATTTTTAGGCAGCCTACATGACATGTGTTTTTTCCTTAATGCTTTCACTCCAAATAAATGAAGCATTCAAGATGACATCTGTCCCATTTGTTTAAAATCCTGGTGGTGTGTGCATGACAAGCAGCAGCCAGTATGACACATGATAGATCCAAAGTAACCACTGAATCCATTAATATTTTTCCACTTCTAAACCATCCTTAAAGAAAATCGTAAACCACACCATCCTCACTGCAGTGCAGGAGAGCAACCATGCCACTGCAATTCAGGTTTCATCAATAAAGAACCGATGGTTTTTGCAATGAGCAAGAATGTCCTTAATTTGTTCTGCAGCCCCTGTCATAAGCGATTTTACTCTTTCTGATCTTTGTTCTTCAAGTGTGCCTCAGATTGATTTTATATAATCTTTGATGTATTTCTTGTAGGCCTTTTGGTGAAGCTGGTTTCTAGCAAGTGATGGTTCCTGACAATATCAACACCAGCGACTTCTGTACTTTCGGTGCCTCTGCTCTCTGGGCCTTCAGGGTTGGCATTTCCACCAGTGAGTGAGTCATCAGTGTTACTCTCTGTTCTACAGACCATCTTGCCCTCCACCTCCAGGCACAGACCACCCACAATCTCCCAGATCTTGTAAATGTCAAAGAATATCTCATCATGGCTGATGAGGTCCAGACAGATATCATGATTTTGTTTGGCAGGAGACAGACGCTGTGCTAGCTCAGCAGGAGCCGAGAGCTCAGAGCAAACAAGGTGCAGCCACAGCTGGAAAAGCAGTTGGGAGGAGGGGGCTTGGGGGTTGACAGAGACACGGGCTGAAAAGCAAGTTTTTCTTTCTGTAGAGCAGAGTAGTGCTCCATTCTGTATAAATACCACATTTTCTTCATCCATTCATCTGTTGATGGTGACATAGGCCACTTCTAAGATTCAGCTCCTATGAATTGTGCAGCTATAAACATGGGTATACATTATGATATGATGTCTTTAACTCTTTTGGAAAGTTACCTAGTAGTGCAGTTGCTGGGTCGAATGAAATTTCTAGTTTTAATTTTGTGAGGAATTTCCATACTGATTTTCGTATGTGCTGGTTTACATCCCCATCAACAAAATGGAATGGTTCCTTTTCCCCGCACCCTCACCAACATTTGTCATTATTTGATTTCTTGATGATGCTATTCTTTCTGGAGTTAGATGGAATCTCAGTGTCATTTTAATTTCCATTTCTCTGATATTCAGAGATGTTGAACATTTTTTCATGCATTTATTGACACTTTCTACTTCTTATTTCAGTTGTCCACTTTCTGATTGACTTTCTTCACAATCATTCATCTTCATATGAAGTTACTGGCTGTCTGTTTAGGACAACTTTGTGAGGACAGTGGTCTCATTCCCAAGACTAGATGCTCACCTGGGTGAGCATCTGCAAATTTCAGTGCTCACAGAGCCAGATAGAACATGTGAGCCACTTGCATGATGACCTCAGAGCTTCCCTCTGGCTTCTCTATGGCCACAATTAGCATCTTTATTAGTGTCGTGCCTGTTCTGGAACAAGTGCTGTGTTCAATTCACTTCCTTTTCCCTACAGTGCAACCCAGAAGTGGGCATATGGGAAGGCTCTGGTGAGACTGGGGAAGGGAGCAGTGGCTTGGAGCAGTGTGGATGCCAGGCCAGCCTGTGGCTCCTCCAGGTCTGGTTTCTGGAGTGTTCACTGCTTATCACCAGAGCTTGTTGTGACCTTCGATGTCTCTGCCTTTTCCCAAACTCACATTCGCTCCTTGAAACACTTTATCTCACCAAACAACTCA